TTGTGCTGCTGTTGGGTGAAGTGCTCTATAGATGTCTATAAGGCCAAGTTGGTGGATTGTATTGTTTAGCTCTTCTGCATCTTTGTTGAGTTTCTTTCGGAAGAAACTTTCTTTGTTGGTTACCACGGATGGGAGGGAACACTGCCAGTTAAGTAGAAAAAGTATCAATTTGGGTGAAGGGAAGGGCAGTGTACCAAATGTGAGTGATCAGCACGGTGGCATTGAGGAAGAGGAAGACAGAGAGAGGTACCTGGGAGGTACAGAGAATAAAGATGAACCCTTTTGAATGTACAGTAGTGTGTTGTCAGTGATGGCAAGCATTGATCTATGTGGGTGGATAGATGGATAGACAGGCTGAACGATCAGGTATGTCTAGGAAGAGGGTAGTGTGCCCATGACCATGTATAGGGTTAGCAGACAGTGTTTCTACATGCATATTTGTATGTGCTGTAAGAATGTCCAGGTGTATAGTAGAGCTGACAAGGAGCAAAGTTGTGGTGGCTTCTTGGCCATAGCCAGCTATCCAGAGGGAGTGAGTAGTTGGACCTGTGGGCTTGGGACCATGGTTGCAGGGGACTTCAAGCTCAATTGGCATAACATACTACACAAAACATCGTTCCACATCCTACTTTGGCAAGTAGCAACTGGGATCTTAAATGCTTGCAAGTGGCCATCTAGATGCAATGGAGATTCAATAGAAATAGTATGGAACATAAACTATCCAACAATAAAATCACAACATAATTGTCAATGTCTCTGCTTTTCCTTTTTTAACTTTTCCCTTTAATATGTTTAAGTTTTTTTTTTTTTTTTTTTTTTTTCCTAATTCTTATTTGTAAAGCCCCAAATGGATAGCTTTTACATAGGGATTTAGAATATTTAGATGGGTCCAGAATAAGACATGCAGTATTTTATCTTATCAGTTTGTCTTTTCACGATTTCTAATAAAACTTAAGTTATTATTATATACTTGTGACATACATAAGATAGACCTTTTGTGCCTTATTAGACATAGAAATGAAAAATTTCCCCATACTTTGAAGTTATGAAGTTATGTATGATACTTACTTTCTACTCATTGGATATATATTATGTTCTTTTACAGTTCAAACGATATGTCAGTAAACTTCGAAGCAAGAGTACAGTTTTCAAGAAGAAGCATCAGATAATAGCTGAATTTAAAGCTGAATTTGGTCTCTTACAGAGGACAGAAGAACTTCTTAAACAACGTCAAGAAAACATTCAGCATCAACTGGTAAAAGACTATTGTCTTGGGTGCTAAAAGACAAGTGCTAGGAGGTTTACCAGGTTCAGTTTTATACAGAAGTCATTGTTTTTACTGAAAAAAACATAAAATTACTAATTTTCTCTGATTAATTACAGAGATGCCATGTAAGCTGATTCATTTATTTTGACTGTAGCAGTAAGCATTAACTTTTTTATGTATGCTAACTTTGGGGCTATTAATAGAAATTCCAAATGTTTTTTTTTCTTTTTGGGGGGACAGTTAGCTAGTTAATATAAGTTAAATTATAATACCAAGATAGTGAATAGAAAATATTTCTTTAGCATGGCCTGCTGGGCACAAATTTTTAAGCAGTCACTTACAAAGAGCTTTGGCAAGAAATACCTGGGAGGAAGCTGCATAGAAGCTTCTGCAGACTTGTTGCTTGTATACTTGTACCTTGAACGTCAGAAAAGATAAATCCAGATTAGTCCCTCCAACCACAAAATGGGCACATTGTAGAGGCCGGTTGCCTCTGAGGTACATTGGTTTGCCACTTTCCATTCACCCATGGGGAAACTATTTCCTTAGGATACTGGTTTACCAGCTAGCAGTAATCTTCCTGAGGTAAATGAAATTCCAACCGTTTGTGGTTCCATTTCGCTGGCAGTATGAACTTTTCTTTCTTACGCTATTGAATATTGTTAATGTACATAAGACTGAAAACTTACTATGAATTACATATGGATGCTAACTGGAGCTAAATTTTAAAGTTGGTATGTAGTAACTGCATTATTGTTCTCACTGAAATATTTTCTAATTTACATTGTGATTTCTTTGGCTTATGAGTTGTTGCTTAATTTCTAAACATTAGCGTTTCTAGGTACCTTCCTGCGGCAGTTGACCATTCTTTACTCCTGTAAGATTCTTCTTCCTTTTTTGCTAGGACACTACACTCTTCTAGTTCTCCTCCTTCTGTATCAGTATCCCTCTTCATACACCATTGCTCATTTCTTCTCATTTCTTCATGGTCTAAATATTGGAATTCCCCACTGTTAGCCCTTGGATCTCTTCCCTTGGTGATCTTATCCTGTCTCATGGATTAAAAGACCTTCTATCAGCTAACAACGAACAGATTTCTATTTCCAGCCTAGCTTTTCCCTTGAATTTCATCTTGCATATATAGCATATTGACATCTCCACTTGGATGTCTAGTAGACATCTCAAATTTTTATTGTGTCGGAAACTAAACTTCTGATCTTCACCACCCCTCAAACCTATTCTTCTATAGTCCTAATGGCATCTCTGTCCTCCGATGTCCTTAGACCAGAAACCTTGGAGTCTTTCTTAACCCCTCACTTTCCCTCACATCCTACATCTTTCCTGTCAGGATATCTTGAGGATCTACCTTCAAAATATATACAGAACCACGTCTTATGACCTCTGCCACCACCACCCTGATTCTAGCTGTCAGCATCTCTAGGTTGAATTATTGGCACAGCTCCCAGCTGACTTCTCGTCTCCTACCTCTTCCCTGTACAGTCTGATCACAGCAGAGATATTAAAATGATTATTTAAAAATTCCTCCATGCAGAACCCTCCAATGGCCTCTTATCTAATTTGAAGTATGTCACAGTGCTTTCACTGGTCTAAAAATAGGTCAGTGATATACTTTATCATCTGAAGTAGGCCACAGTTGTTGAGTGAATGGGGTAATAAACATAAACTGAGACTGTCCTAGTAAACCACTGAGCACGTATGGTCCCTTGCTCAGCCCTGCCTCATGCTCACTCCCCTTCAGCCACACTGGCCTCTCACTGGTTTTTGAACAGCCCAGGTATGCTCCCATCCTAGGGCTTTTGCACTTGTTGACCCCCAACTTCCGTATGGCTCACTCCCTCACTTCCTTCAGGTCTTTGCTCAAATGCCATCTTTTCAAGAAGGCTTTCTCTAACCCTCCTGTTACTGAAGGTTGAAACCCCAGTCTCACCTCACACTCTTTCAGTATTTATTTATTTATTTGTGGTTTGCTTGTTTACTCCCACTAGAGGTAAGCTCTGTGAGGGAAGAATCCTTTCTTTGCTTTTTTGGGGGGATCTGCTTTGCTTTTTAGGAGGGTCTGTTTTGTTCATTGATGCATACCTGGTACCTAGAACTGTGCTTGTCATGTTTAGGTATATAATAAATTGAATGAATA